TGGCGGTTCAACTGGGTGTCGAGGTAGGAGAAGAGACGGCCCTGCAGCAGAGGGTCCTCGGTGAAATCGACTCCGCGGACGATGTGGCCGGGTTGGAACTGGTGCGGTTAGATTGGTTCGTAGCGTAGGTAAGGTCCATGAAGGTTATGCGGGCGGAGAGACAGGGAAGCAAGGAGCGACATACCATGACTTGCTCGGTCTCCGCAAAGTAATTGAGCGGGTTGCGGTTGAGGGTCATTTTTCCGAGTTTCGTGATGGGCACGTACTCTTCCGGCACGATCTTTGTAGGATCGAAGAGATCGAACCCGAAGCGCAGCTGGTCTTCTTCGTCCATGATTTGCACGCCGAGCTTTGCTTGTTAGTTTTGAGCTCGCTGCAAGGGAATGTGTCGCACATACCTCCCACTCCGGGAACCGTCCATACTCGATCGATGTCCAGAGATCCTGACGCATAAAGTCCGAGTTCTTGCCCGAGACCTGCTGCGCTTCTTCCCAGACCATGCTGGCCTTGCCCTGCAGCGACTTCCAATGGAATTTGACCAGCTTCGACGCGCCGCTGTCCGTCACGAGCCGGTATGTGTGCACGCCGAAGCCGTCCACATGCCGGAAGGAGCGCGGAATACCATGTCCAGCCATCGCCCAGAAAAGAGTATGCAGAGCGCTGGGCTGCTGGCTGAAGAAGTCCCAGGCCGAGTCGTGGGCGGTAGCAGCTTGGGGAATTTCGCTGTCACCTCTGGGCTTGACGGCGTGGATCAGATCGGGGAATTGAATGGCATCCTGAATGAAGAACACGGGGATGTTGTTTCCGACGAGATCTGACGGGTCAGTGTTTGGCTGAGAGTAGAGAAAAAAAAGGGATAGCTTACCGAAATTACCCTCATCGGTGTAGAAGCGAGTCGCAAAACCGTGCACATCGCGAGCAAGATCGGTACTGCCACGACTACCAGCGACAGTGGAAAAGCGCACGAACATGGGAGTTTCCTTGCCCTTTTCGGAGAGAAAAGAGGCCGCGGTGAGGTTGGAGAAGTCGCCGTAGGAGACGAAGACACCATGGGCACCGGCGCCACGGGCATGTACGGCGCGTTCGGGAACCTACATTCTTAGTGGTGCAATTGCGTAGTAGACCAACAATAGAACTTACCCGTTCATGATCGAAGCGCTGGATCTTCTGGCGGAAGATGAAGTCCTCTAGCAAAGTGGGACCGCGTTCACCGGCGCTCAAACTGTTCTGGTCCTCAATTGGGCCGCCCACGTCGGAAGTGAGGTAGGTGTTATTGTCATTGAGGTAGTACTGAGAGAGGAATTCCTCAGTGGATTCTGAGGCATCTGAGGAATCGCGAGCAGAGAGGTCACGACTCATGTAAGGGCAGGCGGCATTGGCGAGGCCAATGAGGCCGACGAGACCGATGGGACGCATGGTCGCGTGGAAGGGAAGGGGAGGAATGGACTAGGTCCAGGGAAGATGAGGCAATTGGAGAGGTAAGAGAAGAAGGAAGGGGAGGGGAAGGTGAGGGAAAGAGAGGGGGAGACCGAGGGAGTTATATAGAGTGAATGGGATTGGCATTGGCATTGCATTGGCATTGGCAGTAAGTAGCTACTAACTGAGTAGATACTAACTGACTAGTACGAATGTAGGAGCCGTCTGTTCCCAGCATGTTTTGTTAGATACCAGTCGGGTGTGTACCTTACTTGGGATGATATCTTTCGGTAAGGAATCCTGGGATGCGTATTGAGATGCAGACACACGGCCAATGGCGCGTTGCTCATTGGCCAGGGGGTCCATGCCCCGGCCGAGACCCAGGCTTGGCGATGAGGAGGAGGTCGAAGCTGACTGGCGGGAGGGCTTGGTAATCGGGAGGTCTGGATGGAAAGGGACTGGCTTGGCAGGCGATGACGTTGAATTCCACTCGTGTCGTGCCATAAAATACAGTATTATCACGATAATAATAATAAAATGACAAAATAGCAATGATGTTGCACAAAACCTGAAAATGGGAGGTGTCGGGATTGTCAATTAGTCTTCCCCACTCATGTAACAATAACAACGATAACAACAACAACACACAACTCATTGGTCTTCCCCTTGCAGGGTGAGAGCTTCAATTCAGCCGTAGCCCAAATACTTATTGTACTACCTCAGGCATAAACTTACTAACAACCAGGGGACAGGCTTTATGCACGAGGGAGATGATTCCACAAAGTACATTGGCCAGGACATGTTCATGTTCATGTTCCATCTGCAGGACCCAACTATTAATAACTTACCCGACGGTTCCTTACAGCACCTCCCCTCCCTCAACCCCAGTTACACTACTACTAGTACCACCACTAGTACTACAACTAACTATGATCAGACCATCCAGCCAAGCCCACCCCCGCAGCCGGGGATTCTTGGTCCTGCAACGTGCTGAATTTCCATCACACCGACGCGTCGCCGCCCAGAGTCACAACCTACTAGTAAGAAAGAACATCACAAAATTCTATTTCTGTACAATACCTAGTCTACACATCCCCCATCATCTATCATACTAGTATACTATTCTAGTATCTAAAAATACTTCGGCCAAACCGGATCCTCCCACGTCCTTCCCCCCTTTATCAACTGACTATCCACTCCATCCGCTCCCGAAGAAACATACAACACCTTGGCCTGTGCCCCCTCATTCCAATACTTATACGTCACTCCTTTAGGCACAAACACCACATCTCCCATCTCCACTCTGGCAGTCTCATACTCCCCAATCTGCACCTGCACGCTACCCTCCAACACCTCCAACGCCGCCGGGCCCGCCGTCCACGTCGGGGCCGTCGCGTTGCTCGGCTGCCGACTCATGATGATCGTGCTCAGGGTATAGTTTGTATCCTGGGCCTGCGTGGCCGTCACCAATGGCTGCACAATCTGGTACGCCCCGTACTGCGAGTTGAGGTACTTGGGGCCGTAGTTGTTGGCGATGAAGTACGGCTGGCCCGCAGCGCCGAGGGTATCGGATTCGGTGTGCCAGCCAGAGTCGGAGGGAGCGGAGCCGTTGACGAAGTCGCGGCGGGGCGTGAAGTCGAGTTGTGCGTAGACGTCGTATTGTTGCAGGCCGGAGATGGTGCTGCTGTCGGGGCCGGTGGCCGAGGAGGAAGAAGAGTTGCTGGAGCCAGGTACGTAGGGGGTTTCGGTGCCGGAGGTGTAGTTGGTGCCGAGGGCGTAGAAGAGGTCCCTATTATTTCGAGGGTTGATTAACTTGCTGATGTTTGGTGAATAGATGGGGAATTGGCTTACTCAAATCCACCAGGAACAATCACTCCCACCATTTCAGTATCCGGGTCGAGGATCTGGAACGTGTGTGTTGTGTTCCGAGGTACAGAGCCATAGTCTCCCTGGGTGAGGAGACGGCCCTCCTGTTCTCCATCGCCCTTTTGGGCCCAGAGCTGGAAGCGACCCTTGAAGTTGAAGAAGTTCTCATAGTGCGTGCGGTGGATGTGAGGGAGAACACCGAGAGAGCCGCTCGAGGGCGCATTGGTGCTCATCAGTGTGAAGGCATAGTCGGAGGAGGGGCCGGTGACGGTGAACCGGTACAGTTGGGAGTCGATCGTCACGGCATGTGAGTTCTCATAATGAGGGAGGATATAGGGGCGAGGGGACGACGGGGCCTCGGAGACGTAGAGGTCCTCGACGGATAGGGCTGAGGTGAGGGCCAAAAGAGAGGAGAGGACGACAGAACGCATGGCGATGGAGTCTTCAGATTTAGGTTCCGATCAGATCTTGCTAATTCTTCGATAGACATTCTCTGCAGCTACGATTCTACAAACTTATACCCTTCGGATGGACAATGAAGCCCGATATTCACACCGGAAATCCCGAGATTCTGCAACATGGCCCATGTGGTACGCGAAATGAGCTGCAGACCTCGTCGCAGGTCCCGATTTGTTGGAATTGCAGATACCTCAGCGACCAGACAAGACAATAGGGCAGACGAACCTCGGTGCCTGTACGTATCCGGTCATGAGTCTCCGGAATGACGAAACGCCGTGTGTGTCGGAAAATCCGAGAGTAGGATAGCGATCAACAGGTCCACTGCAGGAACTATCCAGGCCAAGGGACGCCATTCTTGGCGGGAACAGAGTGAGTCGTTGTCCTGCCTTGGATTCTTCACGCCCCGGGCTGCAGATTATCTGCAGCCACCTCTACCTACCTTAAATCCCCATATACTCTAAAAGTATCATTTACAAAAACATCAAATGTCTACTTACTCTGCACCTCTCACACAGAAACCACCCAGCAACACTGAAGAAACCAAATGCCCCCGATGTCGATCACCGTCGATCATTCAAGGTCCGAGAGCTCCGATAAACGGCGGGTCGTCAACTCGGCATTTGTCTTTGCGGAAAAACCACCCAGGCAGCGGGGAAATGCCGCATACAGAGTAGTCTCTCCAGTGTCAACCAGGCATAGTCTGTAGATAATAGCCACACACTAACCCACTCTAGTAAGTCTAGACATCGCTTGTGAGTCCGGCAGGAACACTGAGGGTCAATCAAGCACGTAAATAGCCTAGGGTTGTCCGTGAAGATTGACTAAGCGGAAACCATCGGAAAAATAACTAACAAGCCAGACTCCGGAGGGGGACTTGTGGCAGGTACACCTGGGTCAGTTATGAGGATCTGCTTGCACCCAAGACTTGGTGCGGACAGAGGCCGGGTAAATAGACTGTCAGTGTCTGCTTTGTGTGCTCCGTAGTGTTGGGGGAGTGGCAGAGTGCCAAGGATAGTTTGACGTGAAACGGCCGCCAGTTTCATCCACTTTTCCTTCCTTCCTTCCACCGACAGATATATTCTCTCGGTAGTGGATAACCCGAGAAACAATTTCAGTTGAGCTCATTACGGCATAGCTTCTATGACATATTGCAGATATGTAAAGTGTAAAGGAGAAATTAAAATGGAATGAAGGTGTGTGTTGTAGTGTGGTGCGGGTAAAAGTGAAAACCGAAAAACAAAAGCGGGAGAAAAAAGAATTGTCCCTGGGCGGGGTCGAACCGCCGATCTCAGTGATTCCTGTATGATGAAACCATAAGCACTATGCCTTAACCACTTGGCCACAGGGACAACTGTTTTATGTGGGGAATTTCTTAATATGGCTTATACCCTACTTCTCGCATATATCCGGGGTGAGGGTGGTTTTTTGTTCATGGTTCCTTGGGTTGATTGTGGGGGGAAGGAAGCTGCAAGTTTGGTACGACGTGACATTTTACTTTGTAGAGTGGCGTGTCTTATTTATTGGGTTGGTGTTGTGTAGCTAGCTATATTTGGGGGATCGGTGTTGTAGGGTGTATGTATAGCTTGTGGTTTTGACTGACATTGCGACCGAAATACATATTCGCAGACCAACTTAGCGAGGTACTAGGCTATCTATCTATTCTTCAGTTATTTACTTTTAGAATATAGGGACCTGTGAAAACAAAAACGACGCCGAAAATGGCTCCCCTCTGCATCCCAACCCAGACACCCCTCCTTCTCGCCCAGCCTGGTCGAGCGGCTATAAAGATGCTTCGTCAGCCCTCTCCCTCGGGGGTTTTACAACAACCTTCTCATCCCATCTCCTCTCCCTCGATCGACCTCGACACGCTTGACTCACAAGTCTCCTATCACAGAATCCAAGTCTTGGCCTTTTGTCTCCCGATTCTTCTGATGGCGCCTGTGTCCGTACCTCCAGGTCAAGGCGATGAGCACTGCTGCATATAGACACCGTCGTTGATGTCATTGTTGATAGACTTGATAGTGGACTAAGTCAGACTATCTTTCTCCATGGTATATTCTAGGTTCTTCGCGGGCTTGGTAAGTTATCCCCCCTTTTTGAAGGACTATTATTGACATATTACGTAGCGAGGGGCCCCCGATTTGGTTCCAGAATTTGTTTCTCGAGGCGGTGCCAAATTTTGAAAAAGTGGATTTCAAAGGGCGTCAGGAGATTGACCCGACGACAGGAGGACTTGAATAGAGACTAAAGGCTGGGCTGGTAGCCTCTTCTTGCATGTTTATTTGCTAATCAATGTTCCTTCAATATACTTGACGATGGGAAAAAAATGGCAAATATGATTAACAATATAAAAACGTTCTCTCGTCCAATTTGCACATAATTCAAGCCCCCTCTTGTCGTTGCGGAATTATTCCCGAGGACTGGTAACCTGGACAATCAATGTTGGGATAATTCCACTTACAACGACAATCCCACTCATGAGCCCAGCCGTACCAGTGAAACCTAGAGCACGAAACATGTATGGGAAATAGAAAGGGCCGACCTAGATGTTCCTGTTAGCGAGGGGAATACGCGCCGAGGTAGAGTAGAGGAGGACGAACAAAACCATAAAGTAGCCTGATAACGTTGAACAACACTCCAATTGAGGCAGAGCCACTAGGCGAAGTATCGATGGCATACGCAGTGAGAATGGTAGATTGAATCTGATTGCCAAAGCTGGCAATGGCAATTCCCACACAGGGGGTCACATTCCAAGATTTCGCGCGCTCAAGTTGAAACCCCCAAACGAGCTGACCAGCAATGATAGTGAGGAAGCCAATATAAGTCAACCAGAGGCGGTCGGCCGGATAGACTCGGCCTTTGCGCTTTCGATAAACCTTCATGAAGTAGTCGGACATTGGCCCACCGACCTGCTCTCCAATGACGCATCCAATGATGATGGGGATGAACTGGAGACCGGTTTGTTGAGCATCGAGATGAAATTTCTCCCCAAACGTGAGGGGCATTTCGACCACGAAGACGATATTCGCATAGCAGAAGGTGATAGCAGTAGCTAGAGCTGCTATCAAGATCCGAGGGTCCTTGGCTAGGCGGAATGGAGACACAAAATCCGATATTCTGATGGGACGCGCATCAAGTCGTTTGGGCAGCAACCCACGGAAGATCGAGACTTTTTCTTTGGAAGCATCATTCTCAGGTTCCGTAACACGAAGCGTCTCTCCGCCAAGGCAGATATAAGCGACCGCTTGCAAGAAATTGATGATGGCAAATATCCAGAATATGAATTCCACTCGAATGTGCTGCACCACGAATCCCATGATAAAGGGACCAGCCGGGGTACCGAGGATGGTCATCAAAACCCACCACCCCACCTTCCGGGCATATTCATCCGGAGTGGATAGTTCAGCCACCACTCCACTTCCAATTCCAATCGGTGGAGATATGAAAGCTGCAGTCAAGACACGAGTGATCATTTGGCTAGCGTAACTGTCGCACCGGGCGCCTCCGATATTGCACACCATACTCGCAAGGACCGAAAAGATCAGGATATAGTGGCGGCCATATCTTTCTGTGATGACAATCCAGAAGATTGGTGCTATTCCAAGTAGTACGATCTAAAGACGGATTCTTATCAACAAAGCCCGATCCCACTCTGGGAATTATTACGAAACAAGATACTTACTTGAATGGACACCAGATAGCTTGCGTCAGCAAGGGACACGCCATAAGATTCTGCCATTGAAGAAACTGCTGGCACGACTCCTGCCGCCATGAACACAGAGATCATCGAGTGGAATGAGACCATTAAAATCATATTATTCTTCTTCCATTGTGGCCAGTCGACAGCCTGGCGAGAAGTACTAGGTTCCATTGACGACGAATGGACTGCTCCTTCCAATTGGACAGGAGGACCCGATTCACTTGACTCCAGATGCTGGCATTCGTTCTTTGACTGAAGGTCGCCAGAGCCCGTGTCGCTCATGGTTGCAGGGAAGGATTGAAATTGGTCAAATAGAGATTTCTATTATATTCTAATATAAGATTGAATTGAAGATTAGAGAGCTTGCTCCTGATAGTTTTGCTGTTGGAAGAACTCAGCCAACCCACCTCCTTTTCTATCTTTCTATATCTCACATACTATACTTTCTATACTAGGGTTTCCTAACACATCCTAATCTAGTTCAATGCGGGGTAATAGTGTCATTCCCCACAGAAATCAGCCAGTTCATAGTTTCGGTTCTCATCCCGGGCTGTAATGATCCTTGGTTCCCCGTGTTTCGGGACTAATCCCGTGTATCTGGAATGGCAGGTGTCTGATTGGGGTAGAAGGATCGGTAGGTTGGGCCTAATTCAAGGTTTGCGCCCCGTTTCCGCGAGGTCAGCTCTTCGCCCAATAAAAGTTTATCATATCCCCAGAAGATCCGAGGAATAAGATGGGATCTGTCCCGAGTGCTTAGACCCCACAACGGCACGCATCCCCCCTTGTGTATTGTTCACCGCAATTGCATATTAATCAATATTGACTGTTACGAATGGAGTGCAGTTGTAGCGGAATTATGGCGCGTCAAGTTCGGATACGCCGTAAGAAGAGCTATGAGCGTGGAAGGGTGTCTCAAAAAAATTGGCACATTTGGTTATTTCTTGATTTAAATTTCGATATCATCTCCCATCACACGAGGAGCGAAGAGTTTTACAAAGCTAGGGTACTACTTTTTCCACCCAAGAGCCATATTGCTATGGCTTGTTGAAAAGGTTGTTCGCATTTCCAAAGTAGATCTTATCGCGTAGCTCTGGGTCAAGCGGGAAGTCATCTAGAATTTGCTTGAATCCAAGTGATTTGTCCGGGGACGCATAAGGAAAATCAGAGCCTGTGGAATATATTAGCTACTAGTGACAAAATAACGGGGAACATGGGAAAGCCTTACCATAAGTAATATGATCATGCGGAATAACTTCGAGAATTAGCTTGAGACCGGCCTCGGAACTGGAGAGGGCCAAGTCAAAGTAGAATGACCGGAAGTCTTCCATGATCTCCTCGGAGGATTTCCCGTAAATGCGGGCGGTTGTAGCGGCTTCCTTCGACACGGTGCAAATGCGCGTAATCAAGAAGGGCAGCGTTCCTCCGGCGTGGGAGAGAATCACTTTGCAGTCTGGATAACTTCTCTTTGTGTTGGTGATAATCATGTCGACAGCAGTTCTCGTGGTCTCATGGGGATAATTAATGGCTGGTTGCGGCAGGAGAGGGTTGACTCGAGTCGTATCAGCGGGATGAGTAGGGTGAATGAAGACCACGGCCTTTCTGGAATTCAGTTCTTCCCAGATAGGCTTAAATTCAGGGCTACCAAGGTATTGGTTCCCTGAGCCGTATCTTGTGAATAAAGTCACACCTTCAGCCTTCAACACATCTAGGGCGTATTTGATTTCCGCCAGAGCGCCTTCGGTATCGAGAAGGCAAGGCAACGATGCGAAAAAGCCCCATCGCTGTGGATCTTCATCACGCTTGGCTGCAGCGTACTCGTTCGCCTTGCGGGCCAGTGCTCTTCTCTTCTCGGTCGTTGGGGCGATGACTGCTCCAGGCGCAGTCAGCGACAAGATAGCCTTGGTCACACCAATCTTGTCCATGAACGCAATGTCGCCCTCGGCTGACCAAGAAGGTGTCGGCCAGCCAGAAGGGTCACCTCCGGCATCCTCGACAGCTGTGAAAATCTGTTCAGAATCGTATTCTCATTGGGAGGGGGTTGTTGTGATATACCTTGCGCATAAAATTCGGGGACGAAGTGGTGATGGGTATCGATGAGGCTCATTGTGAGTTGCAATTCTGTTCGCTGCTTGATAATGTCTTATCATAGAGAGAAACGCAGATAGGCAGAATATATACCATCGACAGTGCAATACCTGGTGTGAAGTGATCCCCACAATGAATATGCCGGTTTTCCGGTTGCCGACCTACCCGGAGTCAATCATGGAGAAGTGAACACGGCTGGCCGAATTGCCGCTGTCGTTGTTTACAGTTTCGATGACACGTTCCACGATCTGGCCTGTTAACAGATGCGCAACGCATTGACCATCAGGCATAACGGTAAGTAGGTCCGGGATATATCCCGGTGCTCGGGCCTCGGTCAGTCCTTGTTTCCGCCACTGCATTATGTGTGTGGAGATCTTGACAACACAATTTGACCCACGGCTCTAACCGGGCAGGTCCAAAAGAATACGAGATTTATAAACCTTGCTGAATCCAATTGGACATTTCTTTCCTAATACTGCAAGAACTACTTAATTTATAGAGAGTAAATACCCTACTACATAGCTCGAACTCCGCTAATTATTATATTATTACAGAGTATAGCCGAGCTTTAACAAGTAGCACTGCAATCATTCTATATTTGTTTAATGACAAGGTGTACTAAACCAGATGATCAGAGATAAAGGATTGATCAGCTAAAAAATCAGTAAGAAAGATGCCGCGGATATGTGGATATAAATAATAACAATAATAAGCTAATAACAATAATAATTTCAATAATAGTAACAGTATGCTGTTATCGAATAGCCAGCCAGAGCCATTGATACGATATTTACATTTCAAAATATAGTTCTCCGAGGTGTAATCATACATATATTTCAGGTAATCCAATCGCATAGCAGACTACTTGTAATTAATATAGACTGGGGCGAAGACAGAGATATAGAGATAAGTAACTGCTGGAAACGGATAAGACGGTGTAAGAATAAAGAAAAAAAGAAATAAGTATAAGCTGTAATGTACAATCAGTTTTACAGCCTGTTTGAGTATCAGTCTCTTCAGCTCTTAAATCAGAAAAGCATGGGTAGTAGATAACTATCTTTGAAAGCTGGTAGATAAAACAAGATTCTGTATAAATAAGCGATGTATTTTTTTAGCAGTACATGTTAAAGAACAGGAAAATAACCACTAGATAAAAAACGGCAAAACAGAAGAGAGAAAATTCCGATTTAGCTGAACAGCTGGTTAGAGCTGAAGGAGTGCTTTTCCAGGACTCTAGAAGTAGAGGTGACTGGAAACAAGGGCACAGCCGCAATTTCCGACAAGGAAAAAGAAGGGGGGAAGGGATAGCGAATAAGATAGTAAGAATTTTTTATTCTCGGAGCCGATGAGACGAGGGGGCCGCGATCAGGTAAGTGCAGAATATGGGAGGAGAAGGTTAAAAGAAAAGAAAAGAAGTAGATGAAGTGGAAGGACAGAGGGTAGGAAATTCTTAGTTATATACTCGGAAGAGATGACGGGCAATGATGCCAGTACATCATATCAAGCGACTAAGCCGAAAGCGGCAAAACTAACTGTAAGGGGAAATTCACAGGTCCCAGAATTACTTATCTAAATCGTTCAGTCATCAACCAACATATCTGACCATTCCCATCACTCTCCAACCTGTCGTTTTCACCACACCCCCCGACAGGCAGATTGCTCTATTGGGCTGACCGTCTCTCAGAGCGCCAGCACTAGAGCCTACTACTTGCATCACTCCCCTGCGACCCTCTCATCCGGCGATAAACAGCATACACATCCTGCACATTATCCTTCCCCCAACTAACCAGAAGTTTATTCCTCTGGACAAAGTCCATAGTATCCAGCATCTTCTCTTCCCTCCGCTCACATTCCGTATCCGAGAGCTCGCCATCAGCACACCGCAGATATACCCTCAACATGTCGAAATGTTTATCCTTAGGGAGATGGAACGTATTGTAGTTCTCGTTGATTTTTCTGTGGATCGTGATGTCCCATGGATCTCTCCTAAAATACCACCATTATCAGTATACTTCTCATGTCTAAGATGAAGAAAGGAAAGGAAAGAAAAGAATAAACTCACGTATCCAGCGACATACCCTCCGCGACCACCGCATCCCAAACCATCCCCACAGGCATCGCCAAATCCATAACAGCCTGCCGAACAGGAACATCAGGCGCATACGAAAAGACAAAACTCTCGTCATCGACCAACAGAAACGCCTTCGGACTCTCCAGCACAGTCATTCCGCAATCGCCCAGTATCTTCTTATCGAGCTTCGTGTATGCCGAATCCTGCAGCATGATTTCGATTTCTGTCGGTGTCCATGCCATTTCTTGCAGGATTCGTTGCAACATGAGCAGGAAGGCGTGCTGGTAGGCACTTCGCTCCCTGGTGAATTTGTCAAGCCGGAGGTTCGTTATGCTGTTGCATCCGAAGGCGATGATCTTGCTGACGGGGCGTTTGATGGTGGGTAGTTTGCGCAGAGTCGCGAGCATGTTCTTGTAGAGAGCACTGTCTGTCCAGGTGTGGAAGATGGTGTTGAAGCTTTCGTGCGCGGACGCTATTTCTTTCTTGGTGGGGTCGTAGTCGTCATAGTCGTCTTCGTCGTCTTCGTCTTCCCCGTCTAGACGGCGGAATTTGTGGCCTAAGGCGAGATTCGAGTATAGGAGGGAGGGGTGGCGCGTTTCAGGACTGGGGGTGATATAGTCTGTTGGGGCGGGGAAGAGTTCGAGGAAGTGTTTCACACTGAATCATTTGGTTGACGATTAGTATTTGCATACAGTAAATGATAATATGGAAGAGAATAATACGTACCCAACCATAGCTACACCCTGCTTATTGCGCTCAATTCTCTCCGTCATCACTTCAAACCCTACATCCGCGCCATCCAATGCAGGAATATACACGATATCCCCCGGCTTACACCTCTCCACTCTAGCCTGCGCCTCCTGGATGGCTTCCTTGGTCCACCGGGGTGTCCCCTCTGGATATAGTTCCTTGTACCGCTGCGCCCTAAGGTGTGGATTCAAATCAGTATCCGGCCCGCTGGGTCGGAGACAGGGCTGTAAGCCGATTTCTGAGGTGGAACGGCTTTGAGTGGTATTCGTTGGTGGTGCCACGTCCATGGGGTCGCTGGAGCTTGTGGACGACGCGCTATCCTCGGACTCATCGATGTCCATGGGATCGGGCGTGTACATAGTACTAGGAGTAGTCATTGTTGATTGTATGGACTGTTCACGAGGGTGGAGGATTCAAGCTAGGTTTGACGAAATTGGGTGAATGCGAAGGTTGTTGATTTAATTACTGGTATAGTCTTCTTGACTGGCGACGAGGATGATCCAAGAAGGGATTGCATGTTGAAGTAATTTATACCTGTTTTCGAGAGACGTGGAGAGACAAACAGTAAAGGAGAGTTTCCATGACAATTGATCATATTGCGGCTCTTCCCTGTACATTCACTGTCAGCCGGACTATAGTTTGGAGAGTCGTAAAGGTTATTGTTGAAACTAGGTTTCCAGGGAGATTCGGGATGAAAAAGAAAAGAAAGTATGCTGTATATAGATGGTAAGTGCCGCACGATGATAGTGCAGTAGCTTGGACCTTTGAATTGAATAGGGAGAAGTATCTTGTTTTGATGTTCAAAGGAATAGTCATGATTTGCGCTAGTTTCTGTTTCACATTATAGAATAGCATTTAGTGACATTGGTGGCTTGCATTGCAGTATTAACTGTAGGCTACCGTGAATATATCGCCTAGCTGATATGCCGAGGTCTGTATCATCCACTAGTTAATGGGACGAATGACGGAAAATTATTCCGCTGGCCGAAAGTACCCAGAGGAAATATTTTCCGGGATAGACCATGAATAATGTCACACAAATCCAACCATTCAAGATGGATCATAATCGAACAACACATACAAGGCTATTTCTATCCGTCACCCACAATCTGACCAAAGTTATATTGCGGCACTTGAAACAAAAGCAAATGATATTTTCATTCTTTTTAACCATAGCTATTAGATGGAAATGTAAAGAGCTTGTTATATACCTAGTAGATTATAGCAACTTAGTTAAAACCTCGCAAATCAGTTATCGTTATGCTTCTGGCCCATCTCTACTCATTCGCTTCCTCTGTATCAGAACCCTGAGAATTCTCTGACCCTTCTGCACTTTGATCTGCAATCATTTTGCCCAGCCGCCTAAGATCATCAGTTATATCGTCAGGCTGGATGCACAGCTCTAGAAAGGCCAGTTTATCCGACTCGGCATCCACCCTGTCCAGTGCTTGCTTCAAATTCCCTACTGTCTTGATTTTCATGGCGAACATGGGCGGACTTTCCTCTAGCTCCTCATCTTCCTTGCTGGCATAGGGGTTGTGCGACGGAGCGTGGGGCTCCGAGGAAAAGGAATTGGCCAATTGGACATAGTCCCAGTTTGCAAAGTAGTTATACGGTCCATCGTGCATAGCAGTCTACTTCATTGTCAGCGATGTCCACGACTTGTTCTCATTGACTTGCCTCGATCTTATACCCCAGATTGTTGAAAATGAATATGATCGCGTTTGCTCTATGACGAATCATGCTGCTGACTTCTTGTGCTGTCATCTGAAAACCCCCATCGCCAATAAGGATGATGGATCGACCCTGTGTCCGAGCAAGTTGGGAACCAAACCCAGCAGGTAAAGCCCAACCGATAGAGCAATATGGAAATTGTAGCTGGCAGTTGGCTTCAGGGGGGAGGAGGATATGATTGGAGATAAGCCATGACTCTCCTGCATCGCAGAGCAACGTGTCATGCTCCTTTATAAGTCCCTGGATACCGCTGATAGCGCTTTTCAAAGTTAAGGGTGTCTCTGGGGTCTCTGTTTCGTCGGGCGGCAAGCAACCAAGAAGTGGCTTAGGTCGCGGGATGGACTCGGTCTTAGTCTCCATTCCAGACATGATGAGTTGCGCTACCAGTGCGCCGATTTTCACGGGCTTGATGTGCTTTCCCTCGGGCAGCTCGACCCAATCTTTGTCCACGCTAATTATGCGATAATCTTCTTGCTTATTGCTACTCATCAAAACATGAAAGTCGGACCAATTTCCACCGATGACTAACCAAAGGTCTGAGCTCATAACGATCTGCTCACCTTCTGGGTTTACCATTCCAGCCCAGAACTGGCCGCAGTACTGCGGATGGGATTCTTTGAAGCAGCGACCATCGGGCTGACAAAGAACCGCGCAACCAAGCTTCTCTGCTAGACGTTCAATATGACCGCGAGGGAGAGATAGACCTGCTAAACTTCCAAGCAACAGCACAGGTCTTTGGGACGAGTTCCATATACTTGTAATTGCTTCTACAGCCTCTTTTAACACGCGTGGCTGACTCTTCAGGTTCACCTTCCGGCTCAGTGGCGAAGGTCGAGCGCATGCGGCGGAAGCAAGATCATTGGGAACCTCAATGTAGACGGGCATACTGGAGTCAAGACATTTACCTATCGTATCATCCAGTACATCAGAGACAGTCTCTGCAGATTCGAGGCGCACAGATGCAGCAGTGACTCCTTCGAATGCGCGGAGGGCCTGGTCTTTATTCTTAGCGCTGGGAGCGTGATGCAAAAATTTGTCGCTTTTCACCAGGCTCGTGGTGGGACAACCGGAGAGTACAATCAATCTGATATTTTGCGAGCAGGCGCCTGATACGGCATTGAGAACAGACAGACTGCCTACAATGTAGGGAACAACGATAATCGCAATGTGGGCTGGTGACACGCGGGCGTATCCATCTGCGGCATATCCAGCGTTTAGCTCGTTGCAGCACGTCACCATACGAAGATTGGGATTCTTCAGCAGATTATCGAGGAGGAAGAAATTAGTATCCCCTAATAAGTTAGCAAGCGATACGAAATTATAGATTGATATACAAACCTGGTACAGCGAAGTAATCGCGAATGCCCAGCTCCTCAAAGCGATAGGCCAGAAATGTGCCAATGTTATAAGTTGTCTGATTAAAAGTAGGCCGAGAGCTCGGCAAGTTCGCTACCACCTGGGGTTCTGGGATTGTTTCAGCATCAGGTATCTTGATGACTGCCTCGCCGAGCAGTTGACTGCCATAACGTAACGGCGCTCCTGGGTATGTTCCTTTAGGTATCTCATTCTGCATAGAATGGAGAATTTGAGGAAGCTGGTCCAGTGCAAAAACATGGCATGGTTGATAGAACCTTTCTTTGGTGAAAACAAGGATAGCCTTTTCTATCTGTTCTCGAGTTCCCCCATAAGGTACAACTTTCACCTGCGCCATCCTTGACACCAACTTAGATATGTCAATGCCAATCGGGGTCCCTGGAGGCAAGCCCACAACGACAACTGTTCCTCTAGGTTGCACATACTGGGATTGATAAGAAGGTAGTTATGTCAGGCGCCGCTTGGGAGAAAGACTAACCTGAAGTGCCCCTTTGAGAAGTGCCCCCGATCCCTCTATCAGTATTGCAGCGTCGGGCCCGTCGTCAATCATACCCTGAACTTCAGCCACCATATCGGCTGAGGAATTGTAATCTATGTAGTACTCGACACCAAGCTTCTGTTTATATAGATGATTACTATAATCTCCTGTAGATATGACCAGAACTCGACAGCCACGGGCCTTAGCGTATTGACATGTCAATGTTGTTAGTCCACCTGGCGGTCCCGCAACAGCTTCATCGTGTTAGCTGTGGCCTGTTAATCATAAAACTTCATGGACAGACGTACCTACAAGGCTACCGGGTTGTGCACCACTCTCATGTACGGCTCTGAAGCACGTGGTACCGACGCAGATAATCTAAGTAGGATATTAACGAGCTCAGGGGTAATAGATGATGAGCCTGAGCTTACCGGAGCCACAACATCAAGAGGGATCTGTTTAGGGAGTCGCACGACATGACATGCTTGACTGATGCAGTATTCCCGAAAGGTGCCATCCACTGAATATCCGGTCATCCGCGCGTGTGGGCATGAGACGAAATCTGATTGTTTATCCGCATCGCAGACACCACAGGTCCTATTGATCCACTAAACCAACGTTAGAAGGATACTTTTGCAGCAGCGACGGTGGGTATTACCTGTATACCGACATGATCACCAATATTGATGTCCTCCACTTCGTTGCCGGCCGCTACAACAACACCCGTACCTTCGTGACCATCTTGCACCTGAAGTCAGTATAATGTGGGAAAGCTTCGACAGCCGTGGGCCTGCACACCGACGCGATGTTTCTTTCCAGTGACATGATTCCCTAGAGTAATTAACACTTGGTGCATTATTCTGGGACCGGATAAGATTAACCTCTCCATTGATGAAGGGCGGAGTGACAGAGTCCGGAGAATTTCAAGTTGACCAGTACTTCGTCCGGACCTGGGGATAGAGGGGGTTTGTTTCTGCATTCCCGACCTGATACATCAGCAGACGCACAGAGCGACAAGTGTGGAATAGGGATTAGTGATCCTTACCAGTAGTAATGCGTGACCGCCCGAACAGCTGAGGCTGTGGAATTGGCATTGTCTGAACTGGGGCCATTGCTGTTCCGATGTTCTCTCTTTGTTGTCGATGTATTAGAAAGAGTAAAATCAGCAATTAGCACTACTGTGAAGAAGAATGACGACCTGTGGCGACAGTATAAGACTGTAAATTTACCAGATCAATTCCTCAGCCTGTTCTGCTGGCGAGTGCACCATCCGCCACCCCGGAACATGTGCATGCTTTTATAAAATTCATGAGTACGTGAAGGCCGCGCACAGACATAGTATCATCCATAGGTAGGATCTAAAAGCCCCTAATGACCTGAATAAGTTCCAGAAAGTGGAAATACCTTAGAAGGATATACTTTCTAGAAACCTGGCACCCGCAAACATGGGGGGAGAAATGAGGAAACAGCCCGCCGGAGGATTGAGAACACCTCAGGTGACTAAGCTTACATCACCTGGAACTCGACAGGGAAGTAGGAGTAGGAAGTCATGGGATCTCACACTTTTTTGAAAAGTAGCCAGAACTGTATGCAGACTGCACGTATAGCAAGTGGAGGGGATCATGCCCAGCTTCAATTCAAGGTAACAGAGAGAAGCGATTACATTCGAATTCTACCAGGCAGACTCATAACAGCATCTCTCTCGTTCCACATAGAAATTAATGGAAATTGTCAATGTGGTCATGGTATTCAGTTGCGCAATTCCTTGGCTAAGTCGTTGAGACTTTGATT